CACAAGCTCAGTAGTCAAACAATTATTGAGCTTCTGGAAGCTCTCTTCATAAGTATCCAACCACTAAAACTTAATCCCCTTTCTGAGTCTATCTAGTCAAAGGCGTGACTATCCTAGAGAAATCTTGCACAAAATGATGGTAATACCTAGCCTCAGCCACTATTGTACGGCCTCGATCTTCTGGGAGTCAATAGTGATCCCATCTCTTAATACTACATGCTCAGGAAAGCCACACTATCATGTCAAAACTTGTACTTTGAAAACTTGGCATACAATTAATGGTCTCTCAATGTCTGCAAAACCTCGCATAAATGCATCATATGCTCCTTCTTACTCCTCGAGTAGACCTATATATCATCAATAAATACTGTCAAAAATATGTCCAAAAAGGCCCAAAACATCCTTTCATCAAATCCATAAAAGCAGTAGGGGTGTTCATTAGTCCAAAGGACATTACCAAGAATTCACAATGTCCATACTAGGTCCTAAAAGTAATCTTAGGGATGTCCTCCTGTCCGGATCCTCAACTGATGTAGTCAGATTGAGGATTTATCTTAGAGAAATGGCTGGCTCCACATAGCTAATCAAGTAGATCATTGATCCTAGGCAACAAATATCAGTTATGCACTGTCACCTTATTAAGCTATCGGTAATCAATACAAAGCCTCAGGGATATATCCTTCTTCTTAAAAAACATATTGGTGCACCCCACAGATAAGTACATCATCCTGATGAAACCCTTATCTAATAAATCCTACAATTGCTCTTTAAGCTTTCTAAGCTCTACTGGAGCCATATGATATAGAGGAATAAAAATTAGTTTAGTACCTAGCAGTAGATCAATGCAAAACTCTATCTCCCTATCAAGAGAAAGACCCGGTAACTTCTCAAGAAACACATCCAAAAACTCACTAACAACTAGTACCTACTCTAACTATGGCTCCTTAGCTCGCGTGTCCATAACAGTGACAAAAAATCCTTGACACCCCTAATTAAGTAACTACTGAGCCCTCAAGTGCAAGATAATGGGAGCCAAAATCAAAGAATAATTGTCCTAATAGACATATAGCACCTCACCCGGTGCTTCAAGACTTACTGTCTTATAGTGACAATCTACAATGGCATAATATGATGCTAGTCAATCTATGTTAAGAATCACGTCAAACTCCAATATAGCCAAAAGTACCAAGCTCATTGTGGACTCCATATTGGCAACACTAAATCAGACACGACCTATATACTTGCGTCACCCACACTGACTCCCTAATAAGTGTCACTACAGAGAACGAACACTTTAGCAGGTCCAACTATCTATCAAGTTGGGTTGAGAAAATCATTGACACGTAGGAGTAGGTAAAATCAAGATCGAACAATGCACAAGCCTCCAAGAAATATACTATAATCATACCTCTTATCATTGCGTTCAATGCCTGAGTGTCCTAATAGGTTAGTGCATACACCTGCAACCTAGCCTCTGCACTACCCAACACCCGGGATGCACGCAACTCAAGAACACTGCTTAATTTCACTTAAATACCTTTGAATCGTAGTGAACTAGCTTCTAAAACCCTTGAACTGCCCTAAACCAGCCTAAACTGCCTTAAACTAGCCTTAAATCACCTTGAATAAGGATGAACTAGCCATGCACCCCTCGAAACCAATTTGAACTAATCATGAATACTCTAGAACTGGTCTAAACCAACCTTAATCTCTTTGAACTAGACTCAACCGGCCTTATTTACCTTGAGCCGGCATGAACCAGGGTCAGAAACCTTAAAATCGTGTACTTGCACACTGAATTGGCCTCAAAATAACACTGAACCGGCTAATTCCTGATGAACCAACAAGTCTAGAAGTGTGAATTGGTCAAACCTACTTGTAACTGGTCAAACATCCCACTAAACCAGCCCTTGAACCAATTTTGCATCCATCAAAAACCCTAGATAGCCTATCCCCAAATTCTGGATTATTTTATTCCCCTCAATCCTAGAGTTGTCAATTCAAGCCAGCACGATCCATTCAGGTTGGCCCATATGGGCCAAAAGGATTTCGAGCCAGGCTAGGCTTACCCGAAAATGCTTCGGGCTAGCATTTAAGTGGCCTAGCCCGCAGCCCCAAATTTAAAAAAAAATTGAAAAAATTTATAATAATACAAATTTTATAATTTAATTAGTCCGTATAAGTTGAAAACAAAAAAAAATAGAATGATGGGATATTTGTTACTACTACTTTTTGTAAGTTGTAATTATAATTTTGACAATATAAAATTTTACAAATTTATAATCTCTATTTTTGTTCTTACTTTTATAATATTTAGTAGAAAATTACATAAAGATGCAAATATAATAGGTTGAGGTTTAGTTTAAATTATTCAAATTTATATAGATGCAACAGGGCTCATACTTTTGTTTCTTTTTTTAATTTATAATTCACATGATATAATATAAACATGATAAATGAAAACATATTTTTTATTAAATTTCAACTTCTATTATAAAATAATATATTTATTAAAGATAACATTAAAAATATTATTATTAACATAATTTATTAAATTTAAATGTATAAAAAAGTTTGAAAAAGAAAATGATATTAAATTTATTAAATTTATTCGGGCCAACAAGTTGGCCCAACCCATCATCAGCTGGCCTATTTTGGCCCAATCTATTTTCAAGCTAGGGCAAAAACAATCGAACCTATATTTTACTAGCCTAGCCCTACCCATTCGTCTGGTTATGCGGGCAGGCCATTGGGCTTAGCATATTTTACACCCCTACTCAATCCTTAATCTTATTCTCACCTGTCCCTAGGATAACATATCCCTATTTTTCACTAGGTTGACTCATTGAGTCAACCCTAATGGATAAAATGCTGGGCTGAGTTAACTCATGAGTTGACTTAGCCTAACCCAGCACAGTAGGCCGACCCACTGGCCATGGCCCAAACTGGCCAAGCTTAAGCCCAAACAAGCCTGGCCCTACCCAACACAGACTTGGACCCCAGCCATCGTCTCTTTCACCCAGAAACCCAGGTCTCTTCTGTATTTGGGTTTGCAACAACCTAAAATGAAACAAAAACATTTTTCCAAGATACAAGCTCATACCTGTGTCAATTGATGGCTGAAGATCGTAATTACAGACTGGATGAATTGACCTACAGGCTTTAGTGGGAGAACAACTGGTCGAATAAGTTTCAAAACTCAGAAAAACCAACTTGGTCGTCCATGAACCTAGTCGGTCAAACTAGTTTGAATTTCTTCCTAATCTCTTTCTAGATTTCAAAAATTAGTTGAGGGCAAACACTCAACAACTCACCTTGCACATGAAAACCAAATTTTAAAGCCAAAATCAACTGAAAAGATGAAGGAATGGCCTACACAGTGTTTGGTCCACTATTGAACCGAACCTGCAGGTTTTATTCCAGATCCGATCCCTCCTATTTTTATTTCTTTCAATTTCACCAATGCAACTTTCAATTGAGTTCCTGATTTTTTTAATTTCTTCAATTTGGCCCCCCGAAGGTTTCAAGTAAGCCTTAAAACTTTCCTGTTTTCCTAATTTAACCCCTTAACTTATAATTCCTGCAAGTTAGTCCCTCTAGTTTTACACTCTAGCCCCAATAAACTTTTAATTGTTGCAAATAGGCCTCTAATCTTAATTAAATCAAAAATTCGATCATTATAGTTGTCTTTTTGGATGATGACTAGTAAAGTATTTGTGGTGTTTTGTATTATCTTACTATAATGAAATAATTGACAAGTTAATTTGTGTGTGTTTTAAGATAATTTTTATTTAGTTATTTGTTAATTTCTTTCTTGGTCATCTTTATTTAATTAATTAAATTTTTAATTAGAAAATGTAGTTGAACACATGAGTCATCCAAATACTTGCCCCAAGCAAGGGCATTTCAAATTAGAACCATCCAACAGTTTTTACAATTTTAATAACTCAAAAATTTTGACTCAAAACATAATTAACAAAATTCTGCTTACAATCAAACTCTCATCAGCCGTTCAAACAGAAGCCTAAAGTTCTTAAAGCAAAGGTCTTAGAATCAATTTTAAATATTTGTTTGGTTTTCTTTTTAAAAAAAAAAATTAGTAAGTATTTCTACTAGAAGGATTGCTTACAAAAATTCGTCGTGATAGCTATCAGTCATTGGGTTAGGTTTCAAGATATAGTTTTACTAAGATTTAAACTATTTTAAACAATATTTTTAGAATATCATAATTATTATATCAACTACCTATTACATTCATATTTTAATAGTATGCATGTGTGTGTCATCATAACAACTGTTATTTTTATTGTAATTCTAAAGTTGGATTACTCTATTTGAGATTAAAATTATTTAACTTGAAAAATAACTCGTCCTACTTTTTTTGATATTTCAAACTTGTCAAATCATCAAATTTTATTTTAAAATAGCTTATTCATAAATAAACTTTTATGCCATACAAAAGCATTTTATTCGAAAATTAAATTATTAATTGGTAGAAATTGAAGAACATATAGAATTATTGTTGAAATTTAAACATCATTGTTAATATTTTTTCTTTGCTGATTTTCATGTGAACAAAAAAATTAAATCAACCTGACAACATTAGGTTTTATTTTAAAATAATTTGTTCACTACTAAACTATCTTATTTTTATAAAAGAATAATTTTAAAAATTAATATATTACTGAGTTATGTCAATTATAAATAAATATATTTAACACGACAACATTTTTCTCATAAAAAATTAATTTTTTTTATTTCGAAATCTTTTTTCAGAAAGTCCTCCCCTGATCTTTCGAGATTTAATCACTTCTACAAGAGTTCACCCGGGTCGCATCGCCCTTCTCCATCCCACTGAAAGCATGGCCCTTCATCTCTCACTGCAAGTTCCTCATGTATTACCCAAACACCATCCCCCACAAATTCTCAGACCACAAACCATTTTCCCCCAATCCACTAAGCGCACCCCAATCTTCGCCACTAGATTCCAGAACAGAAAAATGCGTCTTACCATAGCCGCCACAGCCGAAGAAGACAAGCCTAAATCACCCACCGACACCAACAGTGTCTCCGAATCCGAATCGGAACCCAAAACCGCCTCCGGTGGCGACGAAGAAGCTACAGCGCTGGGGGCGGAGATAAGGAAGGCGATGAGAGAGAAAGAGAAGGGAGAAGGAAAGGGGTTCTTGGAAGGAGTGGCGGAGGAGGTGAGAGAAATCGAGTGGCCGGCGTTCGCTAAGTGGTGGGAACAACCGGCGTGGTGCTCGGCGTCATCGCCGGATCGAGCGTGGTGCTGTTGACGGTGAACGCTGTATTGGCCGAGCTCTCCGACCGTGTCTTCGCCGGAAGGGGGTTACAGGATTTCTTCGGCTGAGGAAAGGCGGAGGGGAGGATAATGGTACAAGCGGGGAGGGAATAGGATATGATCCGGTGAGATGTGGAACATGTACGGTACCGTGCTGCAATTCTACCTTTAGAGCACGTCATCTTACCTCTCTTTTTTTTTTTTTGGTGATGTATTTCTGAAGACGGCGAGAACTCTGTTTTTCCTTTATTTATTTAAAATTTTTTACATTGTAGATTTAAATTTTCTGTTATTTTTCTAATTAATTTTTTTAGAATTTGATTAAAACATGTATTTTGGTAATAATAAAAGAATGAAAATAAAATTATCGTATTTAATTTGGTTTACGATAAAAATAATAATTTTTGTTGAGTTTTTTATTTATTTTTCTTTTTTTTTTCTCTATGAAAACTTTACCTCCAATCATTAATATTTACACTACATATTTAAAGAGTGAATTACTTTTTAAAAATTTTGTTATTTAATATGTTATATGTTGAATTTGCGTTATTAGATTAATTAATTATATCAAATAATTAAAGTAAAAAGAATGAGATTAATTCTGCTCAAATCTTAGGAAAGCAATCCTTGTCGCTAGCATTATATCAAACTATGTAAGTTTTTTTTTTTTTTTTAAGCAAGAGATTTGAGAAGAAGGGACTTAAGTGAATTTTAAGAAAAGATAAAGAGGGATTTAAGTATCAAGCAGGGGGCTACGGGGGTTTTGATAAAAAAATTTTATCAAACAGGCCTTAAGCAGTAAATTTCAGTTTTTGTCCAGCAATAATTTGAATTTTGATTAAATTAGATAAATTTAAATTTGAATCTAAATTCTAATTTGAATACTTAATTTTATCTTTGAATTTAATCTTATATTTTGTAAAATTTGTACACATTAAATTATATTTAAATTTAATAAATAATTTTAAATTTATTAAAAATTGATTTAATATGTAAATAATAATTTTTTATATTTAAGTCTTTTAATTTTAATCTGTCGATTATATTAATCATTAAATTTTTTATTTTTTTTAACATAATTCTTGTAAATTTGAATTTATTAATATTATATATATAAAATTATTAATTTAATAACAAATATTATTAAAATTTTAATTTAAGTTTTTAACAAATTGAATTACTTAATTTTATATATAATTTATTTATTTTAAATTATAAATATTTATAATTAAATTTGATTTATTAAAATATTTTAATTATATTATATATAAAAATTGAATTAAAATCAGATTAAATTTAAGTTAAAATATAATTTGTTGACCGTCCGGTTTCTTTCTTGATCTTTGGAAGTTTCCTCTTGTAGACCGCAAGCAAAGAGAAAGATGGGTAAAAAGTTAACGCTTTTTTTGGGAGGGTTTTTAAAAGGTCAACATGGTTAATAGTGATTCGTTGATGGAGTAAGGAATTTTACTCAATTAAGTTAAATTAGGAGGTTGAGATATGCCATATGATCGAATTAAAAGATAAGGTATTCAATTTGAATAGTTTTGTAAAGTCTGAGGACCAATGATAGTTCTCCACTTGATCAGATGATCCTGATTTGTGATTATAAACGAATTTGCATACTTTGAAATAAATCTGACTGATTATTACACCTCACCACTAAATTCCCTGAACATCTTTAACCATTTTATTTGATTAGAAATGTCAATAGTATTTTGACTACTAGATTTAATTAACATCACAAGTTATATATTGTTGTTTCTTGCGAGGATAAATGGAAGTAAAAGTCAACCAAAACATGTGTATTTATTGAGGATCAATTTTTGTTTCAATGTCCAAGAATGGAAATTTTTTTTTAAAAACATTTCAATACATTTTAAGAGAAATATAGAATAAGTGGGGATTAGGAGTGTTATTGGGTCACATTTGAATCAAAGTGTGTATCTGAATTCTATTAATCATTATCATATCCGAATCTGATTTGATATTTTATAAGATAAAAAAATTTAATCTAATAAAAAAATAATTTTTTTTTTACATTTAAATTTCTCAACTTTATTTTATTAATTATATTAATTCTTAATTTTTTAAATTTTCTCTATTTAGTTGCTACGATTTTGAATTATTAATATCATATATATATATATAAGATTATTAATTTAATTAAAAATATTATTAAAATTTAGATTTGGAGCATAAATAGATTAGATTACTTAATTTTATATTCAATTCATTTATTTTAAATTACAGATATTTATAATTAGTCTTGATTTATTGAATATTTTAATCGGATTCGAATCTTAAATTTCGAATCGAATTTAGATTAGATTCAGATTAAAATTTAATCAATTAACAATCTTATCAGTGATAAAGTTTTATTCTAATAGATAAATTTTTTTTTTGAATAATTGACTTTTATTATTTCTTATTCCCATATATTAATAATAATTATTTAAATTTATTTTTTCAAGCCCATTTTATTTAAACTTACTTTCTCCCAAATTTATCTTTTTTAAAATCTCCTTTCTCTACAGTCACTTTTTAAATCTACTTTACATATTTTCAAAAAAAAAAAAATCTCAATACCCATTTTTTCCAATTCATTTTCCCTAAATTTGCTTTCAAATTCTCTAAACTCCTTTTTTTTTTTTTTTTTAAATGCAAACGAGACCTATGGATGAAATTTTAATATAAAAAATTTAAAAAATGCTAGTGTGGACTTATAAATAACAAATAAATTTAAGTTTTTTTCCCCATACAGCTCACGTAACCAGTTGTATTTTAGATTATTTTTCATGTTTTGGACGTTTTTGATTAAACCACTATAATTTTGTTACTCCATGAACCCCTGGAAAAGGAAAAGTTTCAAATGTCTAAGTCGAACCAGAAAGAAACTACAAGCACAAGAGAGAACAAAACCAAGGATCACTGCAATCATTCAGAGAAAACAATGGACAGCAAAAATTTCATCTAGTCCACCTATACTGTAGCAAATGGAAGTACTTGATAAAAACAATAACATTATTCATCAACAATTTTCCATTTTGGAAAATGGTTTGTAATTGTATATTACTTGTCTCCTCATTACCTAACACGAAATACAATAACATTATTCTAGCCATTCTTAGGACAACTATCAAAAGGACTCCAAATTATTACAAACAAGTCCTAATAATGTCCTAACGAAAGATCACTGTCCCCCGTGACAGGCATTTGTGAAAATTTAATCCTCTAACCTGGGTATTCAGGACTCAAAGGTCATGCTTTCTGCTTCCTTTCTCACCGAGTCAAACAGAACGGAGGATAAATACCTCTCGCCAAAGCTTGGGTAAATCACCTGCATAAATAAATAGATCAACTGTGTTTTAGTGGTGCAAGGAATGAAATTCTGTAGTATCATAAAAGCTATACAAATTAGGTTGTTGGATGTTCAAATGCTGTATATAGATATATGCAGTTTCATACAAAAATGTCATTGTTCTAAATCAATGTTACAAAGAAAGTATTGTTTTAACATTGGAAAAACAGCACCTGCACGGGATAATCACCTAACTACCTCTTGTTAGCCATTCAACTACTGTTCTAAATAATTTTAAAGAAGCTCAAGGCAACTGCAACTTAACAAAGATTCTGACAAATATTAGACAAACAGACTGAATAGTGTTGGACACTCCTGTTTCAGTTACATTTCATAGTGATTGTCCCATTGGAATGAACTTTTCTTCTGGGAGTAGAAAAAGTTGATTTCAGCCTATAACAACAACGTGGGCTCAGTGACATGATTTAATGCATCTGATATTCAAAAACACTCAAACACGAATAACTTTTCATGATCAAATCAAAATCCTTGATAGATTTCCTACATACTGGCAATGAGCTGACTGACAGCATTCATTAACCAGTAAGTATCCATGAACAATGTATTCAATTAACCAATAAATAATTAGGTATACATTTTTGCTCATGCTATTATTTTTTGGCCAATTAACTACAAGGTCAGTTTAGTGGACTATACAACTAGAAGATGTTTTCTAGCAGAGCCATGCACTTGGCACACTATTCATGAGAAAAAAGGCTATGAAGAGACAAAATTTTCCTTTGCCAGGATTTGAGTTCCCAACTTCCCACGAGGAGAACGGTAAATGAAAATTGAGCCACTGCCCTAGGTCAAAAGAAAAAATTCATCATGAACTTAAAAAGCAAGAGTCCCATGAAATGTTAACATTTTTTTTAGTATAGACTCCTATTGTATCAACTTGGAGAGACTTCCTTATTTGACTAGGGGGGGAAGACCCAGTTCTTAGTGCCAAACTCTTGAGTAAGACTCGGTTTGGCAAACCATCCACACAACAATTCGCCTCTCTAAGAATGTGCCTAATCTTGACTTGCCAATCTTGATTTATAAAATCTTTAACTCTACGAACAACAGGATTACTCTTCATTGTGCCTGTATGTCTTCATGAGATCATTTCGACTAGAGTCAATGAGTCCAATTCCAAAATCACCTACCTATAGCCTAGATACCAGGCTTCCTTAGGCCCTCCCACTCTCCCCAGGCTTTGGCTTCCACTGCTCTGGTACAACCTGCCTTGTAACTTTTGAAAATAGTTGCCCCATCTGTATTGAGTTTGACCCAGTCAGTCTTAGGAGGGCTTCAAACAAGATCCTCCCTGACTCTTGAGGACCCTATCCCCCCCGGTACTCCTTAGCAACCCCTACATACAGGCAACCAGCACTCAATGACCTTAGTTGGGTTATCCAGCCTGAGAAACCTTCCTAAAAACTACTATTGTTTCTCCAGTTCCAAGTACACCAGATAGTAATGGCCTAAACCTCCACCCAACATAAATCTGGATTCCCTTTATTGCTAGCTAGGTTATCCATACACTACTCCTGGAAGTCTTGATTGTTTCCCTTTATGGCCTAAACTACTATTGTTTCTCCAGTTCCAAATACACCAGATAGCAATGGCCTAAACCTCCACCCAACACAAATCTGGATTCCCTTTATTGCTAGCTAGGTTATCCACAAATCCCTAAGGCATGCATGGTAGTTTCCAATGGGGCACCACAAGCATTACACCCCTTGTCATGCTTCTTTCTTGGTAAAACTCTGTCCCATGATTGATAATTACTTACTTAGGCCTCTTTTTCAACTTTTAGTTTGTAGTATTTGATAAACTTAACAAAGCCATGGATCCTATCCATGCAAAATAAAGCATTTGAACCCTTTTCACAAATTGCACACCTAAAGCTCAGTCCTCTAGTTTATAGATGGCAAATAAACCTTTTCTAACTGCTTCAAATTATATCTTTTTGCCTTTCTCTTAACTCCCTTCACCATCCTCCCCCGCCCAAAGAAAAAAAAAAAGGTGCAAAAAGAGAAGATAAAATAACACAAATGTCCATAAGCTCTGTTATATTGAGAATTTTGAAAAAATGTCAGCATGCTTACAACAATAAGTTTTCCAGCGTTTTCTGGCCTTTTTGCAATCTTGATGGCTGCTGCAGTCGCAGCACCAGATGATATCCCCACCTGCAGTTGTTGTCATCACAATCAAAACTTAAAGAAGAAAATGGCACCATTTGCAGTGATAATCTAATTGTGAACTATTTTGAAAATTTTTTAGACTGCACATGCAAGTTGTCAAGATTTAGTGCAGTGTGAACTTACAAGAAGCCCTTCTTTTAATGCAACTTGCTTTGCAATTTCAATGGCTTCATCACTAGCTACCTGGGAAATTTATAAATAAATAAAAGATTGAAAAGCCAAAACATATAGAGCATTAGTTAGCATGACAAATAAAAACAAGCAGCAACCCAAGTTGAAAACACAAGTATAATTACACAAAACACATTAAACAGCGAACCATGCATACTGAATAAGAAAGGGATAGGCAAGCTATAATAAGCTAAAGTGCAAAAGCATGCCAACAACACCTCAAGATCCTATGGAAAATTGAGGTTTTGAACTTTAAGGCAATAAAATAATAGCATTTATCAAATTTGTCAAGGCTGTTGAGAAAAATTACAGTCATGTCAAAGATCATCTATGGGGCATATATTCCTAGTAAATTACCAAGCACCATTTGCATGAAGTTTCCATGTGGTTCCCAGAGGTTCCTAAATTGTTCATAGAATATTTCTAACATATTCTACAAATCATGGATAGCACTTTAGACAGAGAGAAAAAGAGAGTGAACAACATTGAACATTCATCATTGATTTACATCTTACAAGCCAGTACAATTTATTATGATTTCTGTCTTAAGTAACATTTGTTTTACCATGTTTGACCCCCTCCCTTACTGCGATTACATATTATGTAACTTTGAAAGCCATTGCTATTTAGCAATTTATGCCCATCTCCATTAGCAAAAATAGTGCAAAACCAAAAACAAGTATCAATTCTTCAACAGATACGATTTTAGGCTAACCAGCATGTAACTTTAGGGTCATAAGGACACAGTTAGCAGTACCTAGTAAACTATCTGATAACATATAATAACATTACTTTATATAAATAGAAATAAAGGCTCTCCATTCTCTTCTTTGCTGACTCTTTAGCAGGCAAGAAGGAAAAGGTTTTATCCTTGAGGTAGGGAAAACTACTACTTCCTCTATTCAAGCAAAAACAAATAGTCCGAAGGAGTTGGATTACAAGTTGGAAAGCACTTGCTTAAGAGAAAATCGGTGAACCCAAAAAAATCCATTGCTAACCAAAGCAAGTGCCAGATAAATGGCTAAACCTCTATTGCAAGCAAGTCTGAAAGACAGAAATCTGCCAAGAATAATGAGCAGCGACCTCACATTTTATGCTTTCATGTTTTATCAATTGAAGTCAGAAAATGAACACAACTCTAAATTGATGTAGTAAATAAAAACACTGGGAAAAAATAAATTCATGCATTTGTGCCACATGCCCAGCCGCCCAATAGATCAAAAAAGGCATTCCTTAGAATAATAAACATACACAATGACAACCAGTGATGATTGAAAGATAGCTAAAAAGAAGGAAAAAAAAAAATCCAATCACAGAGAGAACAAAAAATCCTTCTTACTTGAACAACTTCATCAATGAGACCAACTTCCAGTACACCAGGAATAAAACCAGCACCAATTCCTTGGATCTTATGAGGACCTTAGGCATTAATTGAAAACCAGAAACCACGTTAAGAAATTTTCTCTCTTTTGGAAAGGAGCTTTAGAACATGAAACTACAACACAAAGAAAATGAAAAAATAAGGCAGCAAATAGAAATGTTGGACAGATGTAAGCAAATTATTGAATGTTTAAGAACAAATTTATAAGCTTTGGCAAGACCCATGCTAGTTTTTAAGCTCTCATTCCTGAACAGCATAAATAACTGATAATAGAAAATTCTTTAGAATTTTTTGTCTCTATTTTTCTCTCGTCTGTCCCCTTCACTTTTCCATTTGCTTGTTCTTCATCACTCTCTCTTTCTCCTTTGCCTATTAATTCCTTGAGTTGCATTTTATACATATCACTGAACACACTACATAATTAGTGGTTTAAAAAAGTCAAAAGCATCATGAACCTAACGTACAGAACAAGAAGGGAACATCATCACTATATACAGGGTGCTTGGCAATTGCATTTGCACTAGAGATTATAATATTTATAACTTTGTCTATATGCCATTGGCCATAACCATAAGCACTTGTGAGATCACATTTGGAAATGTAAAGGCCAATCAAAGTTCGTAACAGTGTGAATACTCACAAGAAAAAATGATTTTAAGATCAACCATACCTATGAGAAATCATGATTCCACACATAATTTGATCCATTATATTATTTAGGACTTGCTAATTGCAATTCCAATATGACCCCTATCAAGCCATCACAACAAAATATAACCATCTACTATATTTTTTAACTACAGGGAAAAATATCCTAGTCCATGCAGCATAACCAGACCCCAGCTCTAGAGACTAATGCCCAAATGGAAGCCAGTGCAAGAAGCAGCTGCTATGAGGAATTAATGTAACTTACCAGGCTTTCCTCCAGATAGAACAGGACTTTCAACAGGTTCAATACCATACAGCTGAAAATGAAAAAGTAACAAAGACCATATTGACATTTGGAAAGTGAAAATTAAGAATATCTGAAATAATGCGAAATTGGCAAAGAGCAGATATGGATCATATTTATGCATAGTTTAGAAATAAGTTTGTATTTACATAGTATTTTGGTCAAGATAAAGTCAAGCAAACCTTTATGTTAGGATTCTTCTCTTTGAGAAATTTGCCTGCACCTGTTATGGTACCTCCTGTACCTATCCCAGAAACCAGGGCATCAATTTTCCCATCTGTGCCTTTCCAGATCTCTGGTCCAGTGGCTTCATAATGTATCTACAGAAAAAGGATCAAACATTACTAAAAAAATTCCAAACATCCAACTTGTCAAAATTTTATTGTGGCCTACCTTCGGATTTGCAGGGTTTTCAAACTGCTGTAGAATGTAAGCATTGGGTGTCTTGGACAATATCTCTTCAGCCTTCTGAACAGCACCTTTCATTCCTTTAGCAGGATCAGTGAGCACCAACTCAGCACCAAAAGCTCGAAGGATAATTCTTCTTTCAAGACTCATTGAAGCAGGCATGGTGATGATAAGCCTGTAACCCTTAGCTGCAGCCATGAAGGCCAACCCAATGCCAGTGTTGCCACTTGTAGGCTCAATAAGGACACTCTTAAGCAACCATCAACAAAACCAAGTCAAACTAGTGATTTTTTAAACTCAAAGCTTCAACAGATAAAGGTATACAAAGTTGACATGTCATTAGAGATTTAGGATTAGCCAAAAGTTCATAGAAGCCAAATACAAAAAGGAGATAAGGATATAACAACCATCAAATGGATTAAACTCTTGTAAAAGGTTGTGAATCAGACCAGCCCTGTGAGCTTGTTCTGACAGAAATAGATCCATTATTGGATCAACCACATTTAATGAGTGACTTTCTGTGTCTTTCAGTTTAACACTCTAGAGTCCTCGAATCTATGCTAACATTTTTCAATCAATAGATTCAAGGCAAACTTTTACTCATACTGTAACTAGCATATCTTCACATGAACTATGGAGACCCATGCATCGATGAGTTCTTACAGAAACTTTGAAATCAACAAAACAATAAGGTTTTCCAGGGAAGTACATTTCAATATAATCTCAATAGATACAAAATCTTCATATTATTAGCACCAGACATGCCTCGAGAAGAAGAATCCACGTTATGAAACTCAACAACTAACCTGCCCTGGTTTGATAAGGCCCTTCTCCTCAGCATCAGCTATCATGCTATAACCAATCCTGCACAGAAAAAATACTATTCAGAAAGAAAAATCGCAAAATGGAGACAAAAAAGTTCTGGTAAATGGTAAACCTGATAAATGAAAACACACAAAGTTTATTCTAGATATATTGATAAATAACCCAAATTATACCTGTCTTTAACGCTGGAGCACGGCTCCATCATTTCCAGTTTGGCAGCAACACGAGCTACACAACCGTCCACAACATTATTGAGAAACACCAATGGGGTTTTACCAATTAACTGTGCCGCAACAAAAGAAAAGCACGGATATTGGTCAAGCCAAAAACTCAACAGCACGGATATGATCACACCAAACCATCTTCCAGAAAAATAAACTTACTTCAGTTACATCCTTGGCGATCGCACACTTGTCCTCCGCCATTACTCAGATATCACTGCAGCAAACAATTGAGAAACAATTAAGATTTCTAAACTTCACCAGACTTGCCCATCACAAGATTCAGATAAGCCACATGACAAAAGGAATTTTATCCTGAAAAAACAGACAGACATTGGCTATACCGCCTCACGACAAAGAAAAGATTCAGATATTTTGCAAATAATGATTTTCCCCCTTTCAACAATGTCACGGTGAAAAGAGCACTGATTAACAAAACCTAAAGGAATCAACTTTTTCCGCCACAGGAGGCCAATTACACACAACTCACCGGGGAATTTGGCAATTACAGCTGTGATTAATTATAGCTAAAAGGAAATATCAAAATTAAAGCTAGAACAGCGGAATGAACGAGGAAATGGAAAGAAAGAATCACCCTTTTCAGATAATGGCGACAATAAAGAAATTCGTCGATGATACCGGGCTGGTCATGTATGGCTGGCGAGTGAAGTGAAAGTCAGTTATATAGTGACATCAATTATATTTGTATAAGTATATTCGCCTATTAAACAAATAAAATATAAAATATTCAAACTATGAGTCTATGGCGTGTTTGGACCGCAATTTTGAGGAAATGAATCTGCCCCTGCTTGGGCCCAAATGCATATTTTTGTCTGGGGGGCGGGGTTTGATTTCTACCCGTTGCGTTGGATATCTAGATTGACTTTTGGTTACCTCCTAGAATTTAAAAGATAAATTAAATAAAGGATTGACTATGTTGGGCCATTAGTCTTTCTCCATTTGGGACTCCATATTTGTCATAAAAAAATTCTCAATTTAAGACTCATTTGATAAAGCTAAATCAAATAAGGTAAAATAGGATAGTATATTGATAAAGTATTCTAATTCTATAGTACTTTAAATTATTATATCATATTTGGTAAATTTAATTTAAATCTAGATAAAATATCGAATAAATATGTAAATTTTTTAAAGTATCATTTCATTTTTGGCAATAGTGTATGGTGAGCGGCAGTTGCAGGTGAAAGGGGTGGTGGGGTGGTAGGTGCTGGGTGGTGGTAGGTGATGGGCGATGGCAAGCAATGGTGGCGTAATGCCCCAAATTTTGGGGTTAATTAATAAAATTAGAAACTTGAGGACTTAATTGAAAGAATTAGGAAATTTTGGGATTTAATTAAAAGAATAAGGATGCAATTGAATAGATTTAACTTGACATGGCTTGAATAGAAATAATAGAATAGACAAGGACTCAATCAAATGGAGTAAGGAAAATCAAGGACTAAATTGCAAAAAACTAAAAATCAGATCCTGTGAATAATCTGCTACCCTTCTGAAACCCTAATTGCACAAACTAGTCAAATTGAGAGATTTAATTCCCAAATTGAGTACATATATATATATATATGCAGTTATGGGGCAAATGACCGAAAACCCCAAGACAATTGTACTCCTCATACACTCCTCTATCTATTGATTTTTGATCATTAGTGTTGAGGAGCTTTGAGTTGTCAAGTCTGCATCAACTAGTTTTTGAGCTTTATTTGTAAATCTCATGGCCATTGCTAAGAGCAAACGAATTGGATTGCATCTTCAATCGTGGTTCACAACCTAGGAATCAAATTTGTTCAAGTCCAAGTATAGGGTTTTCTTTTTGGTTTGGGGAGTTTAGGTCAAGAAGACGAGACCTGAGTTGGCACTCAGGTCTGCGCTGGCTCCAGCCCCCTAGATCGAATCTGGGCTTTTGAGTTTGGGCCAAAAGATGGGTTGGGCTGGAAACCATGCTAGGCCAACTTTGGTTTAATGGTTAAATAGACTAATTTTACACTTTATAAAACCTGTTCGAGACTTTTGATACTCAATTCATGACTTATTTGATCGATTCAAGACTATAGTAGTCTCGGCATGGGTTTTGGGCGTGAAAACCAAGGTTTACACTCAGATTTTGGTTGAAAATTTATATTAATTTAATTCTTAGATGTATTAGAATCCTAAAATAGTTATTTTTATTATTTTTATATTTTAGATTCTTTGTAAGGTTTATATTGAGCCCGTATCACTAAAGATTGAATTGCTTGATTTATATCAGTTTCAGTTAGTAATAATGTGAATTTATAAGTATTTAATACTTCCATATCTGTTATAAATTTTGATTTATACATGATACACTTGATTTCTGAAATTGAATTAAAATTTGTTGTAAAGCATAAAAGAGAAATATACACAATTGATTGATTTTCTTTTGAGAAAATGTCATATTCTATTTTTCCAGCATTGTTTACATTTGTGACTGAGAACTTTTATTTCCTGTTGAGATTATTTTTGTTTAATACTAAAAAACAACTGTTTTTAAGGAGATTTAGATTGTTAGGACACTATAACTAACGACAGTAAGTATTAGACTGGGTGCACTCTAAACTGTACCTCCAACTAACAGGGGTAGTGCTAGACTATCATGTTGCGCTGACATAGTTGTGTTACACACTAGTATACCAACAAATTAAGGAATCACAAGAACTTTTGTTTTCTATTTTTTGTTACGTTCTAATCACAAACTTCCAAAATTCTAGATAATTGCAAATTTCTGTATTTCTGTAAAGTTTCTTATTATAACTAATACACCTATCCTTTGTTTTGATAGATACATATTATTATTCACTAGATCTATCAACTCATCCCTTATCATATTTCAGATTCAGAGTTCGACATTCATTTGAATCTTTTTGTTTGAGAGGAGACTACTATTTTTGTTATTAGTAGATGTTAATATGGTTTCTTTCTAAATTCTATTAGACTTTTGAGGTTTCTGTAGATAAACTCTATTGATTACAGACAAGTTTCCTACTATGTATTGACAATTGTCGAGATTCGAATTACATTTATATTTTAAACTTTATTTATCTGAGATTTAGTATAGTTATTCTGATTTATATGATGATTCAAGATTTCTATTAGATTTGCTAGATTGGAATCTATTATAACCTCAGTGCTGATCACGGATTTAGCGCTTGGGTTGTAACAAAGTTGGTATAAGAGCTCTAGTTTATTTGTGGTTAATAGAGCAAGCATTTTTTTTTTTATAAAGTCTCGATTACGATTACAATTACGAGCTAGCCATTTTCATAATTGAGACGCTATGGAAGATGATTAGGAGTCATTCTGATTTTGATTATTATTCTGATCTTGCATTCATCCTTACACTTGTTATTTCATATTCTGTTTGAAATCTCTTGATAGATGGATGCTTTATACAAAAACCATACTTAGGATCCTAAGAACGAGGATTCAGTGATTCTCAAGACACTGGATAGGTTGCCTTCTCCCAAGATATGACTAGATAGATAGTTCTCTGTACTAGCATGAGGCAAAGGATGGGGTGCAAACAGGGGTAGAGGAAGAGGTAATGGGAGGATGACCAACCGAGGTAAATTGACAGAGCCTCAGGAGGTTAGCCGACCTACTAATACTTTAGACAAATTAGTGGAGGTTCTTCTTGGAATTCAAAGGACATAGCAAACGATGATCACTTTGATGGAAAGGTTATTGGATCAAGGTGGAAGATAGGAACTCCAATGAATATAGGTCACAAAATATGAGAGATCGAATCAAATGGATAGTTGAGCCCAATCTAGAGAACTCAAGATATTTCACTAAGTACCGGGCAAGAATCCCAAGGAGCTCAGCTAGTTATGACACAAAGGAGACAGGAGGTTCATGCAGTTATTAGGGTTGTGTTAGTAGCTTATAGCATCAGTGTGACGCTAGGCTCGAGAATCAGGTGCAAGACTTTCTCAAATTCAAGCCACTTACTTTCTCCAAATGAGGTACTATAGAGGATCCACAATACTTCATAAATCAAATGAAGATCATATTTGAGGTGATGAAATGTTCCAGTCAGAGGTTTGTAGAATTAACTGCTTGTAAACTTCACGATTTGGTTGGATCTTGCTATAAGACTACCCTATTTGGCAACCTCGAGACAAAACACTTATGACCTGGGAGGAGTTCACCAGTGCTTTCATGGATAGATTTCTGTCAACCAATAAAAAAGATCAACTAATAGTAGAGTTTGAGTGTCTCTAGTAGACATCTAACATGACAGTCTCATATTACAATACTCACTTCAGTTATCTTTCTCGATATTCTCCACAGTTGGTAATTGATGAAAAAGCGAAGTCCAACAAATTCATCCAAGGGTTGGTAGAGCCTATGTTCCAAGTCTTGGCTCCACATATGAGGAAGTATACTTATACTAAGTCAATGGATACTGCCCAAGCGATCGAGGCTAGAAGTTTTGAGCATAGGGCGCTTAAGGAAACGAGGAAAAAGGCTAGGACCTTCAAGATCCTTTGGTGGTGGTCAGAGTTCATATAAGGGATTAGGATTTCAAGGTCATCAGTGTACTGCTTAGACTAAACTGGCCACATTCTGGACTATTGTCTATAGCAATCTCGACAATGGTCAAAGAGATGGGGAGTGTGAAGAAGTCAAAGTAGTACAATTTCACACCACGTCAGTAGGATGCCTCAATTTCTTGTACTTATGGGAAGAATCATTAAGGACAGTGTCATAGGGAAAGCAATGCTTGTTACCGATGTAGTGACTTGGGGCATAAGCTTAAGAATTATCCTCACCCACAGAGAAATAATGATTCCAGAGTAGGACAACCAAACAGGATAGCTTCGTCAATTCTTAATTAGCCAGCTCAAGCTTAGGGACGAGGCTTTACAAGCAAAGGATACGGCCAAATTGGGAGAGGCCAAGCGCATGTATATGCTTTGACTAGGCAAGACACTCAAGCATCCAATACAGTGGTAATAGATATGATCATAGTACGTTCCTTTGATGATTGTACACTATTTAATCCTAATTCCATAAATTCCTATGTATCCCCAATTTTCACTACTTGATTCAATTTTTTATCTATTATTTTAGAGTAGCCTTTCCTTGTGGCTATCCTTGTAGGAACACTTGTCCTGCTTATGCAGCTGCATAAGTCCTACTAAGTTAAATTGATTGATGGAGAA